CAAATCTATGAAAAACCGTTTCACTTTTTTTCCAAACAGAAGCGTTGCGCAAGAAGATGCTTACCGTAGGTTCGGTTGTCAGCATTTTTAAAGTTGTTTGTCGAGCTTCTACACTAGGCGTTTCAAGCGCCATTGATGATTGACTGCTCTCTGTGCTGTTATTGTCTTCTCCCATTTCATCCTGTTCCTTACGCCACGGGTAAGCGGGTTCGAACTCCGGGGCGTAAGCTGAAGGTACATGTTGAGAATGCATGAAATATACGTTTCGATAGTGGCCAAGATTGATTCGCTTCATTATAATGAAGGGGTCTGGTTACCAAATAACTCACTGAGCATCTGGTTTTGACTCAAGAATGAGACGAAATGACAAAACAAGACTTAAGGAAATCTAGGGAAGTCGGCCGTAATCATGACAACTTTCCGCACCTCTCTGAACTGTTTCATAGCCTTACAGTTCCCGAACACGAACTCCCTTTATTACCCTCAACAAAGAGGTGAAATGAAGTACAGATGTTTATTGTACGTCATATTTTTCCCGTGAAATTTTAAAGAAATTACCAATCAATGTAATTTTCACCTGTAATCGATTGCTTAATTTTAATTTTTTATGTTTAATTGTAATCGTTTTGGGATGTATCGTAGTGGCGAAGTAAATGCGTATTTACATATGAACTGACCTTCAGTGACAAGCCGATGTACAGGTCAGTGCTTTGGTTTTCTCGGTCAGCTCTGACTCCAATAAGTGGACCCTGGAGGGATGGAGGCCTTAAGTTGACCTCAATGGATATCAATCCGGTATTTGATTTCCGGATCATGTGTGTGGTAGTGAATCATTGACCACCACCCNCCCTCATTACCGTACAGACAAAGCAAAATCAATGGGAACAAAAATTTTCATAAAAAAAATTCGCAGTTGTCATTCATGCCGCATTTTTCAAGACAAATCGCCTGAGTTTGGCTCAGAATTCATGGAATTTTTGAACGATAAAACGTTTGAATGAAACTCGAAATCTGAAGCCATTGCTAGAGGATATGACGAGGGGTTAGCGGGTAGCTATGATTTACAACGTCACAGAATACATGATTCAGAATATTATCAAGATGTAAAGAAGGACAGTATGAATTGAAAGGTTTCAAAAAAAACGATAATAAATTGTAACATCGATAAGTTCCCTGCTAGGCCTTCAGAAAAGAATTCAAGATGTTCAGGCGCGACACCAATGGGGAATGGAAAAATCCTATGGTAATGAGGTACAAAACTCTGGAACAAAAAAACTTTATAAAGTCTCCTTTCAAAACGCTAAGTAGAGGGAGCTGAGGTGCGTGATAGCATAGTAAAATTGTTTCGTCTGCAATGTTCTGTACCATGAAGAGGCGTCACAAAAACGGTCTGGAGCGAACTCCTCTTTTGTACCGCTAAAAACTGAGCCTAAATTTGTTCAGCGACAAGAGTGCCTAGTATAATAGTTCGATGATTCATCAGGTACAAATGAAGTTTGTAAGAAGGCTCATAAAGCAGAAGCATTCATTAAAGTAGGATCTCCTCAAAGCGAAGACGGGGAGATAGGGTGTACTGTCGGGATATTTTGGCGAACGATGAAAGAAATGCATAGAAATGAAACTGTAATAATAAAAAGTATCAGATAGACAACTTAGGAACGAAATGGTCATCTAATCACGGCGCAGCATCGTCGGCTTTGACTAGTTCAACGGGCAAGAGACAATCCTAAGCATCACGCATGTGAAGCTCGAAACTGATTTGCTCAGGGAAGTGTGACCAAAATGGAATGGTCGAGGTAGTCTCTAGACCCAAGCAAGACTTGTTGAAAAGCTCGGACGACCCTTGAAAGGCCGAAACGTTAAAAATGCAATCAAGAAGTCCGCGCAGCTCCAGTTGGTCCGGATCTTTATTCCAGTCCTACCCTCATCAACCTGTTGGACTCAATGCCTCATAGGTATCACGCCGTTATCATTACAATGAGCATCGCTGTGCTTCCGTACTTTTCTTGTGCGGCTTTCATAGTTTGCTTTACCTACATGCTTGTAGCAAAGACCTGCAGAGAAATGAGGATAGAGAACTTTTAATTGAAATCGGAGGGTATATAATCTAATAGCTACCAGTGGGTCGATACAGCCGAATACAGATTGCACTCATATCACTGATCAATGCATTTACACATTCTCAATCTCACTTGCATGCTTTGGAATTGAAGTGAGGTGAAGTAAAAACCTTTTTCCACACTGCGGATGAATGTAACGAACCTGGTAAACGAAGGTCCTCGTCAAGAATCGCATTCCCAATGGCTGTTTGAAGAGTTCCCTCGAACGTGGCCAGCACCTTCAATTAAATCCCTTTTATGTAAGTGGATTGTTCGGAAAGTAATTAGAAGAGGGTTTTCAGAAAAAGTTTTTCAATCATCTGCTTCAGAGGCTTTTCGTATGCCAGAAAGCTTTTCGTTCGGCATACATTACAGCTAATTATTCTGATTTTTTTCAGAAAAACTGAACAGATTTCATCTCCACTTGGAATTTTGAAACAGTTTGAACATGGAGAGCCAGATGAAGTATACATGTTTTGTTTTTTGCTTCCATTGTGGCAAAAAATTGCCGATGCTTCTCATGAAATATGTAAGTAAAATTTAAGGTGACCATGTCTTATTACACAGCACATAGGAGCACTTTCACAACTTTTCTTTCTAACAATTCTTCACTGCAAGTGGGCTGACCAGTAGGCATGAAAGATGATCACTTGATAGCATTGACCGAACCAGACCTTCATGTTACCTTTGTGAAAGCCTGCCTAAGAAGATCAACTTATCCATGGTATAGTTAACGAGAATATCAAAAAAAAAAACTTGAACCAGTCAGAAGTTAGATGGAAGGGAGATCAAAATGATATCGGCAACTATTTCACAATCTGCCTGCTGTCTGTAAACTACAAACCTTTCGCATGAGTTTTTCTCAGCAGGTTCGGCAAAATATTAGATAAAAGATTTCCGTGGGAACAAGGAGGGTCTCCTAGATCGTGTGGAAAGTCTTTAGGTTACAGAGAACAGAAAGATTGGACGACAGTTGCCAATATCGTCTGGATTTCCCTTGTTACACAACACTCCCTAACACACGATTGCTAGTTTTCCCCGCCGTATGCACTTTGCAATGGCAGGAATTACGCGAAAAGCTCGGCCAGAGTTCTGACTATAATTATTAGAAGGCACTTAGAACGTTCTGGTCCGATCCCATGGGGACCGGGCGCTGTTTGAAACTGCTTATGACTGTAATGGTATGTCGAATTCTGGAAGAGAAACTGAAGCAACGATCCTACCTAAGATAGTAGCTGGGGCAGGTAGACGTGGCTGTCAAAGAGATCCGAGTAGAGGTCAAAGATCACCTTCATTCTTACCCTCTGAATTAGCAGTAACTATTCCGTTAGAACAATGAAGTGAAGTCATGTTGGTCTTGTCAATGGCGAAGCTGTAGCAAACTTAACTATGCTCTTTCCGGTGTCGACGTTTTGTTCAATAACTGCTGCTCTTCTCTCTTCCAGATTTTCCTTTTCGCTTCTCTGTATAGCTTCACAGCTTTGAACAATGATTAGTTATGGTCTACAGCTTGTTCGATTCAATGCTGGCGTATCAGCTGAAGAATCTTCGAAGAGAGACGTTTCACGGCAACTTGTACTCGACTCTTTGTTCTCCTAACGTTATCGTGAAGGTGTTCGACCAGCCGGTTATATGTCCATCAATGTTGGCGCGTTGGAGTTTTGCTTCTGCCTCCTGAGCTTTACAGCACTCTCTCTGAGAATGAGCAACAGAGTCTAGTGTGGAGTAGATGATGGTCTGTTACCGAAATAAGAGCCAGCTTCGGAATAACAGCGACGTCAGTCAGGCTGAAGTTTCGAATGAATTTTAATGTGATCTATTTATTATAGTAATGGATACCAGGTGACTTTAGGACAATATCAAATGAGTCTGAAACCGCGAATTACTATGCATTAGTGGGTCGGCATGATGTATTTGAACACTCTTTCGATATGCGACCTTCAGTAGTTGTATTGGAAAAACAAAAACAAAAACCACCGACAATGACCTCAAAAAGTGTAGCTCCTTACTGATGTTGGCGGAAGATTTTAGGAGCAGTGGTTGAGCCACCATCGCAACGATCCGATTCGAATCATCAAGATATAGAGATGGCTTCAGGACGTGATTACGTCTACTCATTTGTCAAGGGAGAAACTAATTCAAGCGCTTCGTTGCTCATCGAAGACATTACACCATAGAATCAAGACATTCGTGAGCGTAGTTCCTCTCATTGGCAACATCTCAAATCTCATGATTATGATGAGACAAACTCTTTAAGGAGCACAATGATCCCTTTACAAGCAACTCTACAAGACCGAGCTTAATTCATTTGGAAGTATTGCTCTCACACTCGACATCTGTAAACCGCTCCACATAATACGTTTTTAAAATAGATTACGAGTCTTGGAAGTGCAAGAACTCGTGTTTAAATTTTTGTGCAGTATTTCTGAAAGGCAAGATTCGGAAAATATTCAAGTTGAGAAATCATCTTTGCTATTGGGAAGAAAGACATTTGGTGCTATGGAAAATTTTCACTTGGAAGATTCATACCAAAAAACTATGATAGGAAACTAGGACAGGTGAACTCATCATGGGTTGGAGGTGACGTTGTTCTTAATATATAACATCAAGAGAGCTTTCCCTATACTTTCCTTCCTTGAGCTTGAACAAAAAAAAAAATCGAAAAGGGAGGTCGTAATAATAGTGGTATTCCTAGGAGCCATGCCTTTCCTCGATCCCATGTTCCTTTGTAAACACAGAACTGGAAAGAGGAAAGCTCTCTTAAACCGATTTTTCAAGTTTCCAGCAGTTGTGTGGCCTACTCTTTCTGATGAAACAAGCTGAAATTCCTTTTCGACCAGAGCATTTTTCGATAGAATGGTGTATCTTGCATCATTTACCTGAGTTGGATTCACAGATGCCTCAATGATGGAAGTTGGAAGAAACTCGTTGCGAGTCATCAACGGACAGTTCGGTGGCTAAAAGAGCAATAAGTGGTTGAATAAACTAAAACCAAGGTTGGAACGTCGGGAAACCTATTGTTCGACTTTCTGAAGCTTTACGGTAATTGTGTTGTTGAGAAAAAAAAAACTGGGTGAAGAATGAAGGCTTGAATTACCGTTACGCCAAGACACTCGTTGTCACGACGATCGCAGATTTGCACCTGACATTGGAATTGAACATTACTGCGATCAGGAAAGACGAACGCTTCTACGACCATGTAAGCTGATGACAGGGATGGATCGTAGACTACCGGACGCAGCTGCACAGGCAATGCTTCGGGACATCTGCACAAGTGAATGTTCATGAGAAACGACTGATTGGTCAACACATACTCATGAGCATGTCACCGTAAGAACCTTGAGTGAAAGTTTTAGAAGTTAGACCAGGTCCCTTCTACTGAAACAGGACATCTCCAACCACTAATCAGCATTGAAATGATGAGCCGTTGGAAATCTGATCCTCTTAATTTTCTCATCATGTGCTAAGAAATGGCTGGAGCGCAAAGTGCCAAGCTAAAAGCGCTATTAGCATATTTAGATTTACAGTACCAAAAGAACAGCTAGTAAACAGTTGAAGGTGTCATTAACCATCATGCGATGCAGTGGTGTATCAGTAATTTCCACCGAATCTATAATGCATATTTGAAACTCACCCTCTATCATCTATGATCGGTATTGACAATCCGGAATTGTCGATGGCGTTACAGTTCCGTACCAAGATTCCGAAACGTCCTGCAAAATAGGAATGTTAACAAAACCATGAGAGCTAGAGCCGGGTGCACCAATCATTGGCCTGGAGAGCTGGCGCGATATTTAGACAAGAGGTTAGATGAGCACGGGTATGGTACAGTATTAACGAAATCGTCGCGTCGTGGCGAAAGGGACGCCGCGCGCGAAGGAATGTAGCGATGCAGCAGCGGAGAACGTCCGTTGCGCGCGTCCGTCGGAAGTAGGTCATCCCGCCCACTTCGCGCGCGGCGCACATCACTGAGGTCTCGAGACGACATTACAGAACCACCAAGTGTCGGTGAGCGGATGATTTGCATTTGTCCGTGTTATCTTCTCTGGCTGACTGTCATGGACCAAGCGCAATTCGTATGCCTCGCTGACAATTGCGACGTTTGTCAAAGATCGCGGGCTGACCCGCCGCATGCGACGTCTGCGGCGTGACCTAGTTTCGACGGACGAAGCGCACCCTGCAGCAGCAGGTGAGAAGTACAAGAACAAAAGAGTTGACAGTAGAATCATGCCATAAATAATGATCGCATGTTGAATGAGCAGTATGAAGAACGCTAGAGCTGTTATAATGAAGCAAATGGTCTGCGATAGCCGCGTGCGGCGGATCGATTACATGCCTACTGCCCGTCTCCCGATACGCACAGATGCGCACAGACAAGATTGTAAGTACTCCATCATAACTTCGACTACCCCGTCTTCCGGACTTATTGTTAGAGATTCTTATTTGAACAGGGCGCTCGATGCCTTGCATGCTGTCATGCATAGCAGCGAGACCCGCTCTATACGAGATGTAGTAGCGATTCGGCAGCTAACAATGTATCATAGGGGAACTTCATATATGGTTAGTGCATCCCAAACTTTGAAACACTCGTGGCAAAAACAACAACCAAGTACCGTTTGTGCGGCAGTCCCATCGGTGAACGAGACTCGCACCGATTATGGACGTGCGAATTCTTGGACCGTCTGGTGTTGCTTCTCGAATCGAATACTCGCATTCAGGCATCAACATAGCTTGTTGCTCGAGTGACTCGGATGGAAGGTTACTGGAATGAGAACTACCAAGGGATAGTTTCTTTGAAGAGCTATAGTGGTCTTGATTGCCTTCTCACCTGACTTCCATATCTGTATTCACGGCTTTGTCGATATAAGCATAGAAACAACGCACATTGTAAGCTCGATCGACTTTTGTCATGAAATGCGGATGGAAATTTGTCACAAACGTCAACACGTAGTTCATACCATGGGGTTGAAGCTGCAGAGCGGTTAATGATACTGATACCACGTCGATTCATTAGTTGAATAGCAGGGACAAAACTATCAAACCTGTCGAATGCGTCGCATTCCACAATCGCCAATTCTGGTGACAAATGTAGCGCCGGCAAAGTCATTACCGTAATACTCCTGACGGCAAACATCTACTCCATAATGTCCTTTCACGTAGATGTTTCCTCTGAAAATCGGGCATGTAGAACGACCAGATCAAACTCAGAAAATAATCTCCAAATAGTCTCCAACTTCTCTGTTGCTTTAAACTCGGCATAATTGTTTATGATTATAATATTCTCGTGCCACTGATATTATATTTATATATTTAATATTTTCGCTACTGACAGTCGCTTTTGGCGACAGCGGATTTTATATCCGCTCCAGCGGTGGAACCTTGGCCTCTGAAGAAGAAGAGAAAGTCGAAGCGTTAGGCCGTTGATGGGAGATGGGCAGTAGGAACGGTTTTCTGTAATCGATTCGCCGCACGCGGCTGTCTCGGACTTCGCTTCGCCGTTATTACAGTTCTAGCGTTCTTCATACAGCTCAATCGATATGCGACCCTCATTTTACTCATAATTCTACTGTTAGTTCTTTTGTTCCTGTATTTCTTACTTGCTCTGCACTCTGCTACATTCCTCCGCGCGCGGCGTCTCTCTCGCCGCGACGCGACAATTTCGTTCCTATTGCACCACACCCGCCCATGATTGATAAACTGTTCCACCTAACAACCTCGCACGACACAAGAGCATTATAACCAGAAAATAATTTTCAGAACTTATGCTCCCTTCAGCAGAGGCTATAGGGAAACGTGATACGCATTATAGTTGCATCACAAATCTATTCAACGATCCAAACAAAAAGCGCCCTTCAGCACCGGGCCTATATTAAAGAAAAAGATGAAAAATAGCTCTTCCGTACGATCTGCAATGGAGTACCCGCGGAAGAGAAGACAGATTTGTTTCGGCGATTATCTTAGTGCCGTCGTGACCATTTAGCTCCTTAGGACTACAAATCAGGACCAATACTTCTACGAATCAAAGTAAGTGCTGCACTTTTCTCTCAGTGGCAAAAAAACAGTAGAGAAAGAGACGATTAGGAAAGGAATAAATTCAAAAGAAAGGGGTTGATATTCCTAAAAGTATCGAGAGAAAGAAGATGGCTCATGTGCTGCTACTCAGCTTTCTTTTTTACTCTTACAATTAGCCAAAAGCAGAAAAGTAAAACTTCATGTATTGTCGAATAGTACTCACCTGAACGGAGCGGCAGTTCGGACAGAGAAGGTAATTGCGTCTTCAGTGCACTGCACTTCAGGTGTACCAACGACCTCATTACCATCCCGAAGACCCAGTTGGTAATTTGGTGGCAATACCTGTAATATTTTCTTTTAATGGAGTGTGTTATAGTGGCCTAAAGAGCAACGTGATGGAAGCATGAGTAGGTTGTACTGTATTAGTCCAATAGCCATTAAATAAATAAATAAATGTGAGTAGTTACTAATGCCTGCGGTGTTTTCTCCCCGATTTCATGTGCGCCTCAATAGAATTCCCCATGTCAAGCTCACTTTGAGGTCAAGGATTGATTACTCAATTATAGTTTTTTTCTGTTTTTTTCACAAATTATTGGGCTTTGCCTCAAAAGCTCCATTCGACTCGTTACTCTTGCCCTATATGTATTTGACCCGATGACCACTCTGTGAACATATCCTATCAATGAATCCTATACTAAATTGTGCGTGAAGTATTTCCCGGGAAACTTCACCAATTATCCAGATTTTTTTTTCATTGTTTTACGGAAGGCTCACTAGAAGTATTGTAAAAGAACACTCCTCAGTTCTATGCTTAAACCACCTAAGGAGACTTTATGATATTGCAATTCATGTTGAACGTACCGAAGTTCATCTTCTTTTGCTTTGGGCTGTGAAGCTTTGGAACGAGGTGTGCACAAAATCGCACAGCAAAGGCTTCTGCTTTATACAAGAAGTTTCAATGAGCTTCAGCAGCGGAATGGCTGGATTCGAACATGCAAAGAAGTACGTGGATTGTTGGTAGAGAGCTCGGTTTTTGTTTGGACCAGTTGGGCTACGCACGCCAATGCGTGCACCACATGCTCACGCTTAAAAGAGTCAATCGGTTGCTCTTATTGATTGCTCTTCATGAAATTATGAACCATTAAAGGCTTAACTGATAGGCAGCCGGAAAATTGAGTAGTACTCACTACTGTTCTCAAGTGATAATAACACCATTATATGATTTCGTTATCACTGGGCCTTCTTTTCTCCACGGGTACATCATTAGTTGAGAATCCCGAATTATTGGCGGTCGGATGAGCTTCGTCGTAACTGATATCAAAACATAAAGTGAACTTGAGCTTC